TAAAAAAGTCCCGGTTTTCGGAAAGAATGCACGACAAGCTAGGGTATACGGTTTTCGGTTGCCATGTGGCTATTTCGCCAGGATATGAGTTTTGTCAATGGTGTCCCGCTTTACCAATGTTAAAATCTGGTCACCTTGGTAAGACTGAATGGAGTCAGCGCGCTCTGTAAGCTGGCGCCTTGCACAAAGCGCGGGTTTTACTAGAATTCCAGCTCTAACTGGTACATAGCTTCAGCTGGGGTTGTTTCACTTGCAGCTGAAAGCATCCTGAGCACTAGTCCCTCTGTTCCTGAGAAAGAAGTGCTGCCCTCCTTGGCTTAACCTGGGCCTTGGTTTTGTCCCTTCCCACCTCCCCAAGAACCTGGTTTCACCCGTTATTTTCTCTCCACTGGGTTCCCTTCCCCCTGAGAATCAAGTCTCCCTCAGGGTACCAACAAACAACCGCAGTGTGCTATGGAATTGGTTCCAGCTAGTGACGCTGTAAGAGCTGAACTGCCCTCTGCCTGAGCTCAACGTCCCTGGTCCTTCTCTCCTCCTGCTTCTCCACCCGCTTACCGGTTTCTCCTTGTCACACTTTCTTAACATCATCACACAAGAAAAAAACCACTTGGGCACCTAACTTCTCTTCCCTAACCTCTTGCTTGTCTGTGTTCATTCACTGGGCCTCTCCCAGACAATGATGAGTCCCCTAGAGAAAGGAGCATGAGGGGTGCCACAAGAATGGGGTCCTTTCCATTGGCATGGTCCTCTGGGCTGGAAAAGGACAGGCAGAGATGGTGATGAAGACGGTAACAAAGGCCATCTCTGAGCTGCAGGTAGTTGGTAGGGCAGGGCAACAAGAGTAGGTAGACCAGGACTTGCCCTTTCCCAAGGCGTTTACTCCATCTTGAGATCTTCAATTCTGAACAAATATTTTTTATGAATCAGGCGTTCATCCATATCTGTCCCTTGAGTTTGCTTGCCTCTGTTCTGGGAGGGGCACAGGATTCAAGACACTAATACTGATAAAGTCAGTTCTGGAGATTTTGCCGGAAATCCCAAAAGAAGAGAAACGCTCCTTCCACCAGAGTTGCTAAACTGTTTGGACTAAGCTTAAAGCCATTGTAGCCTAAATTACTTAAATGTAGTTCCTATGGTATTTTCCTAACTCACTGCACTGCTCAGAAGACAACAGGTTGGTTGCGGAGGTCACCTGAGGGGGCAGGTAACTGATGAGACTCTTGTTTGCTCATTGGTCACTAACTTAATCTGGTTAGTCCACCGTGACTGACCAAGGCTTAAAGAACCTTATTGCTCTGTTTGCTTGCACAGGGTCAACAATTGTAGGGTGGGATGGTTAAATAAAAAACAGGCAACAAGTGTACATATGTGCTTGACACAATGGATGGATGGATTGTGGTAAGAACTGTACCAGCCCCCAATAAAATGATTTTTCAAAAATGCAAAAAAAACACACCCACAATTGTTTCCCGTGGTTATTCTAAAGCCTGAGTGAGTTAATGTAAAAACATCAATGTGACTCCTCCAGGGGACCCCGGGTCAGAGATGCCCTGTGCTTCCCCACGGCTTCCGGTTCAGAAGCTGACTGCCAGCCCGTTCTTCGAGGCACCTCGGGGTGGGTGGACTCCAACTCTCTCCCTTTTCATTGGCACCTCGGGATTTCTAGAGAGCCTTGATATCTTCCCAGAGCCCCAGGCTGAGACGCCCACAGGCCTCCCGATGTCTCACAAGGACGTCCAAAATTGACCTACGAAGTATGGGTGCCCCCTTCTTTCCCCAACGGCCACCTGCTGGACCACCGGTTTCGCCTCCAAGCAGCCAAGGTCAGAAGTTCAGGCTCCGCCTCCTTGCGGGGACTCCCCAAGGTCATCCGCGTCGTGCCTCGCCGCTCTCCGTGGGGGCGGTGTCCTCGGCCCCTCAGTCACCGGCCAGGCGCTCTAGGCTGCAGCCGACTCGGCCGAAGGACTGACCATCTCGCTGGTTGCCGCTCCCCCAGGGCCGCTCTAGCCGGCCACCGGGCCTCGGTGCTCTACCCCTTCGGGTGGCTTCTCTATGGTTGATTTCTAGTTTGTCCCGCACCTCCTCCAGAAGGATCCAACCTTTCCCCATGACTGATTTTGTGGTGTCTTCTGAGTGCCATGGAGGGCGTCCGCGAAGCCCTACGAGACTCGCACAACCTTCGTGCAGGGTCCGCGCCGAGGAGGACGAGGATGGCGGAAGTGAGTATGAAGATGCCCTTCCCTCTCATCTTTCTTCTCTATGGTCTCTTCCTTCGGTGACGGGGAAAAGGGGGCCCGGCGCCTGCGCAAAACCGTCCTGGGAGCTGGTCGCGGAGAGGTGGGGAGG